GGGACGCGCGTTTCTCGGAGCTGCTGGGAGGCGGAAGCAAGTTGGCCAGCACCGTGGGCGGAGGAGCGTCACCTCTGCCCGGCCGCTGGGTCCCGGCCTCTTGGTCCCCGCCCCTCCCGGGAGTGTGACACCTCTAGCTGCGTGCTGCGGTGGGAACTTCACCCGAGCCGCGACCCTGGGGAGCTGGGCATAGCGCCCCGCTTCGGGAGCTCCTGGCTCCCGGGTTCCTCCCGGAGGGCATCCAGAGGCTGAGCGCTCCGTGGGGGCAGGGAGTCCACTCGTCTCGTCCTCTTCGGGGTGGTACCCAGTTTGGTGGCGGAAACCCCGTGTGCTCTGTGAAGGTGCCTGGCGGGATCCTGTGCGGCTTCCAGCGAGCGGGAAGCCCTGGGATGTCACCACTTTCTCGGGAAGTGTACACAAGGCTTCCCCAACTGCCGTGCAGCCAAGTTGGAAAGAAGAGTGAAGTAGGAGCTGGGAGTGCTGTGGGGAGTGGTGGTTCACGGTCGAAACTTAATCTGGAAAACTCTGAGTGGGACTGGAAACAAACAAAAAATACCCTGAACTGGGCCTGTAAAAAAAATTACAAACGTACGAATCTCCACCTCAGCCTAAATCCCTAGCATGTTTTACCACCGCTGAGGAAGGGCTTCAGATTACTTAAAGGTTTAGGTGAGTTGTGTGAGATCTTTGCTACGCATTTTATTTTGCAATTCAGATTCCATTCTTACAGCCTCACTTTAAAGATAGTTGTAATGGGAAAGCGTTAGCTTTTATCGTGGCTAATGGGATAGGGAATGATTGATTCCACCCTCTGTACAGCAAATACATATTTTTCCTAAAGTCATTCTAAATCCAAGCTAGAGGAAAGTTTCCAGGTACTTTTGAGCGGTTGCAATGGAAATGAAAGTGTCAAGAACCGTCTTAGCACTTTTTTCAGGGCACCAGGCATCTGGGATACCCAACGGGAGTGTCTCTTCGTAATACTCTATTGCTTATCTTTTGACATTGTATTTGTAGGCTCTGGCAGAATCCACTGGGTGGTCTTTTCACTAGAAATAGCAATGTGTTCAGACATTACCTTTCCCTTTTGTCAAATGGGAAAAAAAAGGCAAGACTGGCATTTTTGGAAAGCTTGGAAGAGTACCCCCAAAAGTGACATTACTATTGTTGAACAGGGCTGATTTGTTTCTCTTAGTCTCTAAAATATGATGCATACCCCCTGTGCTTATTTGGGAGAAGTACTTGTCTTTCCAGTATATTAGGAAGAGAATTTAGAATTAGGGGTGGCTGCACAATTATAATTCATTATAAATTTATTATTTGTTTAAAAACAAGACTATAAATACATCAACATTCTTGGTTTGTGCATTCCTTAATATACTTTTAATTGTCTAAAACTTCTAACTTGTGTTTCTCAATATGTGCAATTCTTGTATAAGCCTTCAAAGTTTCGATTTGTTATTCTAAATGCAGAGCAAATATTTAATACTTGGTCTAAGAGGTTAGTTCAGTAATAAGACTTGCTAATCCCACTTTTAAATGTCATGGCATTCACAAATTATTCCCAAATTCTTCAAAGATGGGGGGTTGATAATGGGTTTAGTTATTCTTTTGTGTATGTCAGGATTGTGTGGCCATCTTTTCCTGTTGCAGTTTCCTTAATAATCTCTTTTTTCTTACATGAATTTTAATGTTTCTGTTACTCAAAGGTACTATTTCATCTAGTAGTAAATATATTCTATTTTACATAACTTGAAGAAATACTACTAGAAAAGGTAGTTCCTTCAAATGTGACACATATATACATTACATATACTGGATAATATTTATGAAGGATGTAGCTTTACAAGAACTATGCTGGTGTATACGTATTTAGAAAACTGAGTATACCATACCACTCACATTAAGGTTAGCACCTCATAGAGAATATGAACTCTAATGAGAATTGCTTTGTTATTTGAAATAAAGCAGATAGATTTATAGTGAAATTTTGATTAGCTATTTTCCCAAATTGAACCATTTCGTGTGACTGTTTATTTTCTAGGAAGAAATGTTTCAGGTGAATTACAGAGGCTTTTCTTACTATGATCTTGTAGGCATGTCATCAGTCTTTTGGTTAGAAAAGGGAACTTGCTTTATTAGGGTGAAGACAAAGAAAGATAAGGATGCTTATCTTTGAATAAAAGAAAGCCTCTAAATAGTGAAAAGTTTTAAATTCATTCAGAAAGAAAACATAGCTAAACCATAATGATCCATTTAGGAAGTTCAAGCTAATCTTTCTTAGCTTTGCTTCTGAGAGCCAAGAGTAATTATTCTCTTTGTAAAGAGTCAAGCAAATAAGAAACCAGAGAAAAATGTACAGCTATGGTTGTGAGTAGAATGACCTGTCAGAAACATTGAATCATTGTTGGGCTGAATGTATAAAAAAATTATGTTTTTGCAACATCTGTGGAAGTATGTTTGCAAATGCTGAAGTTCATCCTGCCTACAGTGATACTAGGAAATAAGTCCTTAAGCAAGATCATAGACTGATACAGGAGTACCATAAAAGCCAACTTTATTCATTTAATATTATGAAAATAAATACATGTACCTCCTTTTAATTAAACTTTATTCTTTAGACATTTTAATTCTGGATGGCAGTGGAATGTTACCCAGGTATTAGTTTTATGTGAGTCAGTGTACTCAGCAGCAGTTAATGAATTGTCTGCCCTTTTCTTGAAGCTGTACAGTGGAAACCTGTTAAGCATGTTTAGTTACACATGGCTTATGTACTCAGTGCTTTATTTGATAGTCAATTGTCCATTTTGATTTTTGAGACATACTTTCCTTAAGGTGAGAGTATGAGAAAGGATAGAATAATTTGCTACCAAACTTTTACTCTGATCCGTGGCCAATTATATGTTCCTCTGGATTTTCATTTGAGGTCCGTGTTCGTGTTTGTTGTAAGTGGAAAGGTAGTCTGAAGAAGAACTTAACACATGCATTCAGAAGGAAGAAGTGTATAGAAAAAGTGGCACAGTAATGCATGTTATTTAAAAAGTTTCAACAACTAAGTTTTTAAAATTATTTAATGTAAACTTCTTTTATAACACATTTAAAACCTTATCTTGGAGATACCAGCTGTTTTAAGATCCCTGATGGAAATTTTGTACTTCAAAAAAAAAAAAAAAAAAAAAAAA